TTAACCTCCCCCCCCCCCCCCCCCCCCCCCCCCCCCAAATGTGATATTTGCCTCCACTATAGGTCATACTAGACAACTTGCGGTAGTGGTTTTTACTCAAAGGAGGTCCTTACTACCCACACAGTAACAATATCATTACTTGCTGGAAGCAATGCATGATGGGATGTGTAGTCTTCAGAAGTTGAGATTGTATGACATCAAGTGGCAGGGAAAGACCCAAAGCACACTGGGAATCCAGAAAATAAGTGATAGACCGGCGGAAGGTAGCACTCTCTACATAAACAGGTTTTTTCCCCAAGTAATCTCTGATTGCATTATGAAAAACAACTCTAGTATGTATTCCTGTTACAATGCTGATGTTATAACAGGATAGTGTATGCTGGAACTTTATAACTCCTTCAACAATTTGCTCAGGGTTGTGTTCTACTGACATTGCCAGGTTTTACAACTTACTACAATTTAGATGATCTCCCTGTGTTTTCTACCTGATTAATTTTAGTATTTGTGTGTTTGTGTGACTGTACCACATTATCAGGTCTTGCAGACTTACATAAGCAGCTGTGGTCAAGTGATCACACAATTCCTTTTTAGATTAGATATAGTATCCTAGATGTCTTGTATAAGCAGCATAATTTGTGTTCTTAACACCTGTCCCAGACATCTAATCTTGTCCATCCATGTGACTGTGCTAAGGTTATGAATGACGCATTTAAAAGCCTCTCCTTGCCATGGTGGGACATACAGACTCAAGGATACCAATTTTAGATATATACATTGACTTCAAGAAGAGATCATGTATAGCGGGTCTTTAGTGAACTCTAAAGTCTAATGTGCATTTTAATTGTAAATATTAAAAATGAAAACCAAAATTGGTTTGAGTGCAAAATATGATCTCACCCATGGCAAAATGGTTAAGGGGAATGTATAACATTTTTTTATACATTTTTAATTTTGTTTAAGGCTAAAAACTAAATATTTAGCTAGGACACCAGGCGCTCCTAGCAATCATCCACCGGTGGCGTCATTTACCCCCTGGCTGCTGGTGGTTGGTTGCTGCTGATGGACGCCAGACTAGCAACTAACCTGCAGCAAAGGGGTTTGAATAATGACAGTGGCAGTCTGCTGTCTCTATAATGGATAATTAAATTCTGAATTTTTCCTCCTTTAAAGGAAATTTCCAGGAAAAATTATGAACCCTAGTAAAACAAGTTCAGTTTTATCTGCCTGTCTATACATTTCACATGGTTTATTTATTGCACAACACCCCACAATCATGTTGAACGCTTACCTTAACTGCCAGACCATAAACATCTGTTCCAATTGTTCCAGCAGTTGGAAGTGAATTTGGTACAACTTCTGTGCTGGTCCCAGAGATGTATATATGTGATAATGGTACCTTCAACTCTCTGCTCGCAATCTATGAAGGAACAAAAACTGATATTAACAATTTAAATGGCAAACTAAATCGATTATGATTTAGTCTCTTCAGAAAAGTTTTCAAAAATGAAAAAAATTATCCAACGGACAGTGCTGTGGAAAAGCTTTTGCCTTTTTCCAGTCTTGTGCAGTTGTGACATTAAATGTCTTGTATATTAATTCTAGTAGTAGAAAATATGGAACTAGAAAGAGAAAATAATTATTTCAGAACAATTTCCTTTCAGGAAAAATACGCATTCACAGATGTAAAAGAGTACTTGTGCCTTCACAGCTGCAGTATATTAAAGAGACATTACACTCAGGAATTAAATCTTAAAAATGTATTCAAGTACCTGAACTATTAACAAAAATGTATTTTATTTGAGTATCACTCAGCTGTAGACCCTCAAATCATCTCTGAATTGGTGCCGTCACTGTCCTTCCTTCTGGAGGGTGGCTCATTTTGTTCCCCATGGTCCCTGTGTGTGTTGTAAAGTACCCACCACTCCAAGTTCCCTCCCATGATGGACTACAATCTCAATACAAATTAGTAAACTAAATGTGAGATTGTAGTCCATCACAGGAGTGAGCTTGAAGTGGTGGCTACTTTACAACACACACATGGACCATGGGGAACAAAGGACAGTGTCAGCACCAATTCAGAGATGATTTGAGGATCTACAGCTGAGTGATGCACAAAGATGATACATTTTTGTTAATAGCTAGGATACTTGAATGCATTTTTAAGATTTACATCCTGAGTTTAATGTCACTTTAATATACACAGAAAATATTTAGTCACAATCACTGCAGCTGTGAAGGCACAAGCACTCTTTCACACAAATGTGCAAACAAGTTTTGCACATTTTTGCTGCATAACGTTTGCACTTTGATGATAAATTATGAACAGATGAGTAGTGAATCTCTCGCATACCTGCATGACCTTTGTGTTAAGACCCTGTCCCAGTTCTACTCCACCATGGCTGACAAGGACTTTCCCATCTCTGTAAATATGAACCGAAGCTGAAGCCTAAAGAACAAAACCAATGAAAAACAGCAAAATATATATAAGCAGCAATGGCATAATGAACAATTATCAGGCATGCTTACCAGTAGATTTCTTAAATATCTTACAAATCACATTATTACTTTAAAAATTGCATATTTTGTTCACATATTAATCAATGTAGCATGTGTGAAGACAGTAGGATAAACTATTGCACATGGCCTTATTGTGGCATCACACACACTGCATTCTCCACCATATGTGAGAAGTAGCTTTAAATGTTAGGAGCTTTAAAGTGGAAGCAAAGTCTGCCATCCCCTGTCAAAAAAATAAATAAATCACAGAATCCCCATTTAATTATTTCAGCTAATGCTTGCTAAAATACTTTAAAGACCTATATCTGTTCCCATACTTCATTTCCTGGTGTAGGCTGTTTTGCCCCCACTCTGAGGAAGTCAGCGCCATCTTTGCTGCGCCCCAGTGTTTACCTCTTTTTTTTTCCCAGCCAGATAGTGATAGTCAGCATCTATGCCTGAGACAGATGAGCATGTCATCACAACAGGGTGCTCTGATCATTTCGGCTCAGTCAGGATGATGAGAATGGGAGAGTGACTGGGCATGTGCAAATTAAGTCACTAGGAATAATAACGGAATGGCTCTGGGAAATGTCATTTGTGTATAATTGATTAATCTCCTCCAGACAGTAAACACAACTCGGTGCACACATGCACAACTACTGGCTGCTGCTGCTGAGACCTCCTCTCTCTTCCAGGTGGAACCCTGAACAGTGGCGGACCTAATAACCAAAGGGCCCTGGTGCAAGATTTTATCTTGGGGGGGGGGGGGGGGAGGGGGAACCGCCAATAGGTGAAGCATTCCAGCTCTTTCCCAGCTGTTCCAGGGCAGATCGGCATCGCAAATCGCATGTGCAGGAGAACAGATCTGCCCTGGAACAGCTAAACGGTTCATCTTGGTTCCATTTAGTTTTTGCACATCTTCAAGCAGCGCAAAAATACGGCTCCATACACAGCTATGTGTATGGAGCCATTTATTTGCATATGCTGCATATGGGGAAAAACGCTGTGCGCATCTATGCGCAGTGTATTATACGGCAGTGTGAATGAGGCCTTAGCCAGTACCTGTACCATAAGGGCTGTGCACAGCTGCACAATCAATGGGTGCTGGTCAACAACAAAACATGGACCCAGGGTTGCAGGCTTCATCCCACCCAAGCATCTACAAAGCCTCTGGGTTCCAGGACCCCAAACAGGGTTTACCAAAATTGGAAAAAAAAGTTTTTTCCCCATATGAAACATGCATCCTGGAGACCCTCAACCTGTATGGTGAGAACCCTGGGTGACAAGGCACAGCACTGTCACAATACACACACATACAGACCTGATGAAACATTTTGTCAACAAATCCAACTGTGAATTTTAGTGGTATAATAGCCATTCCTCTCTTCTTCCAGTAATTCTTCTTGTTCATGCTTTGCACTTCAATCTTTCTTTTGACATAAGAAGACCTCGCCATGCATTCATCCCAGCACCGCATCAGATTGGTGGCATCAAACTCTTGTTTATAATGTGTCCTAGAAATCCCTTTATACATGTTCACATGTCGGACCTGCAAAACATCACATGCAAAGTAGATCAGAGCCATTTGCTCACATTTGCATACACTGTCGACATTCATGCGCACAATAAAATAGAACCATAACCTAGTTTTCCTTATAGAAATGTTAGAGATCATCTTGTAACACTTATTTTTGTGTTTTGCGTCCTTTTAAAAACTGTTGTACAGATCTTTATTCATATTTAGTAAATTTTTGTGCTGTATCTGTGTTTTAGAAAACTATTACTATCAACGCATACCTTGGCTACAAGGCACAAGCTAGTCATTACTGAGCTGCTTGTTCAAAAAACAGCTTTAAAACAAGGATGTAATATAATAGGAGGGTTATTAAATATAAGAAAAAAAGTGTTCCCAGAGGGTGGTTGCAGAATCTGATTATATTTAAATGCTGGCACATACAAACAGCAGGATTGCAACTGTTACATGGATGCATTTCACAATGTTCGCAAGGTTTTTATTCATCAGGTCAATTCAGTAAGAAACCTCCTGGAACAATTTTCATATTGCTGCTTGTTTAGTAGCGTTAGAATCACAGAGAGAGAGTGATGCTGTGTGGATTCAGTATGGTTTCCTTGGCAGTAGCAGAACCTTTGAAGGTTTATGAGGACTAGTTTAGCAGAGTAATATGGGGACTAGTAAAGGAAAAATGGACACCAATATATACATGGGTAAACATTTGAAATGGCATTGAAAAAAGTATATGTAAAGGCAAGACTATTTTTAGCTTTGGATAGCATAATGAAGGGTTGGCTCCCCTCTAGCGCTGGCCATACATCTATAGATTATCTGCAGAATTTCTATGGTCAGATAGAAAACGTGCAACAGATTCCTCCATCTACGCTAAACTGTGTGGATGGATTAATCTCCCACTGGGCCAAGCTTCATTATCTTGCTAGTCGGCCTGGCTGGCTCTCAATATACCTGAACAATGCCTACATCCAATCAGATTGTCCATGTATTTTGAAGGCCAGCGGGGCCACCTAGCAAGATACTGAAGCTTGGCCCAGGTGGAGATTACTCCATCCACACATAAAAGTGTATGGTCAGCTTTAGGCTGTCACGGAAACAGGTGGCTTATTGGAGTTTTCCATGCTGACAACTAGTGTATTTTGAATTTCTTATCATTTTCTGTCCTGGTGGCAAAGAGAGGATGCATCTCCCCAGAGGGGACACAAACCCATACCCTTCCCCTGAACTATCCAAAACGAAAGCCCCCAAAAATTGACTTTGTATATACTTTAATATGTCGAACGGCATACATACTTCCTGAGATTTTTACAATGGAAAAAAATGAAATCTTTTAATGCAGAAACATTTAGGCAATGGACACATCATCGCCAGACCCTGGCCCCCCCGACAATGGTGAATTAAAGTGCAAGAATTGTCACTTAAACCAACTGGGGCTTTTTTTGAATCACTACATTTCCTTTGTGTTAGCATCTTATCAGTGTTATATGCTGATGGATATTTAGTCTGATATAAAACTGTGGTAGTTAAAAAGTCAAATTATTACTAGAGATATCTATACCAGAGCGAAGAGAGAAACATTTAAGGAAGAACAAGCGACAGAATGATTTAATACTAAAAGAGGGACATTTCCTGCAAAAAAAGGACAATTGGGAGCAGCCATTTGCATACATCATACATGCCAAAAAAGATTATGGCAATGGCTGCACAATTTGCTGGGCTTGACACCTTAAAAATCCAATATATATATATATATATATAGATCTATATATATATATAGCTGGATAAAAAAAAAAAGTGAAAACTGATATGAGGAATAGAAGCACCAGTGTTCTTTTACCTGATCAGGAGGTAAGCCACATTTTACAGCTATAGCATCCATTATGGTCTCAGTAACCAGTCCAGTCTGAGGAAAGCCAAAGCCTCTAAAAGCAGTATTAGAGGGCAGGTTGGTCTTACAAGCCTTGGCACGACAGTGGAGGTTAGGGAAGTAATATGCATTATCCATCTTCAGAAGGGCCACTATAAGTACCTAACAAGAAAGTAATGAAATCAGATTACAAATTGGTCATACAAATTCAATTAAAAAATCATGCAGCTAATTTCAGAGCGCTTCCCCTCCCATAAGGAAGACAAGGCTTGACAAAGAAGCAGTAACTGCAAAACATGTCGCCGAGCAACAGGACTGAGAAGCAGACAAGTACCCCAACTCAAAGCCTATAGACGTAATACAGGACGCCACTCAATGAACGACTGAATGGGTGCCTGTCTCATATTCTTCTCGATGAACAATATTCCAGAAAAATGTGGTCACCCTCGATTCAAAATTCCAGGCAAATCTTTCTTTCCAGTATTTGATAGAGTAGGATAAGATAGATTGCTTGTCCCAGTGACACAATAGGAAGCAAGAAGAAAACCTCAAAAAAAAAAAGGAGAGCTAAATCCCACTTTTGAAAAATGGCACTGGAACAGGTGCCTAAATTAGATTTCCAGCCCCCTCCTGTTCTGGTAACGACTTAAAAACATTTTTTATTTCCTTTCAATTTTTGTTCCAGTTACAAAGGCTACTAGGACAGGAAGTAAGAGTCAGTCTCTGCAATGGACAAACATGGTCAATGTACAATTTCAGCCCCCACTTTTGGGATAATTTTCCCTTAATTTGTGATCAAGGGAAAAGATGAGAAGTTAAATCTCTCAAGCAGGGCTATAAAAAAGCAATATAAGCTGACATCCATTCTAAATCTTTCCCACTCAACCCAAAAGCTAGGAAAATTCCTACAATCCTGTCTGCCCTTTTCCCACCTTTATTGTTCCCACCTCTTTTCATATCTCTATAGGTTGAACTCGATGGACAAGTGTCTTTTTTCAACCTGACTAACTATGTAACTCTTCTGTTCTTTTAATTTTATTTCCTCACTCTTCTTAGTGTTTCTCTTCTTCTGTGCGCTTATTCCCTTACTTTTCCCCTCAGGTTTTTTAATTTCTAGTAGGGTTTCCAAAATTGAGTTTTCAGAGGCTTGTTACTTTTCTACTTTATCTAGACCTAATCCTTTGCACAAACCAGCAGCTGAAGCCCGATTTGTACCAGGAATTATTTTACTTCTAAATCCAATAATGTTCCCACATCCACCATCAATTCCCCTCCTGCCATTGGTGCCTTGATGAAGGGGGCATTTGACAGCCCGTGAAACACGGTTGCTTACTCTTGTATTATGGTACAATGGGCTCCACAACCAATGGTGTGGCACTCCAACTTCTACAAGCCTGGGGCCCGTCCAGGGTACCCCTTTTAAGGCCCTTTCCTGTCTGATGAAGACTGCAATGATTTATATGCCAGCTCTTTTCATTTCATTCCACACTGCAAAACTAAACTGTGTTCAGATCCAGTTAAAACAGAGAAATGTCAACTATAATATCAAATTAACAGATGTTTAAATCTAGAAAGCACAAATCTCTGTCCTTGCCAACTAATACCTCCAGAATAATAAACTCACTCCTTACACAATTTGTATTTTGGCATAGCACATGACTTGCAGAACATTAACAGAATGAAAACTGAAATTTGCAAATAAAAAGGTAAAAAAAAATAAAAATGATCCTACCAAAATGGACTCATCAGGAGTGCATCCAGCATTGGCATAAAAAGACACTTCGGCTCCCACTATTCTACCGTCACTCATACATCCCACCTATTACAGGAAAAAGTGTTAGAAAGTGTTTCCCTTAATTCCATAATGTACAAAGATCCTATTTCTTTATTTCCTATAACACACTTTGTAAATGCCCTTAAATGGATGGCGACCAGCAGTCATCAACATGTCTTCATTTCGCTCCAGAACACAACGAATAGGCCTTTTGGTCCTGCATGAAACCATAGAATTTACATTCAATTGTTCTTTCATTTTTGCCACAAGAAAAATATATTTTAAAAAGTAGTATAATTAAAGACATGTAAAACTATAAGCTCCAAACTACAAAAGATCACTGAAATATGTATATAAATACGCACTTTTGGGCAGCTACTGCTGCTGCACATGCAAAGATGCCTGGCTTTGTAATCTTTCCTCCAAATGCTCCCCCAACTCTCTTCACTTTGGATACAATCCTGTTAGATGGAACATCAAGGACAGCAGCCACTGAAAGCTGGAAAAGAAGCCACATTAGTCAAATTGAGAATGTTCCCAAGAAGATAAAGGCTTTAACCGAACCAGGATTACAGTATATTATATTATAAATAGGCTAATAGGTAATAGGAATTGCTCATCACTTCCATGTTTCAGAGAACAGCAGCTTTTCAGAATTTGATGTAAAGCGAAAAATGTTACAACCTTATGGGGCCAAAAATATGTCTACTACCAGATGCTAAAAAAACCCCACCAAAATCATTATTGCAAGTCTACAGACACAAGTTCCTTAGTATTGGAAAGTTACAAAGCAGATTAGCAATGAATATTGTAGATAGAACAATTAAGATACTAACCTGTGCAGTTGTGGGATCCTGTGAGGATATGTATATGTCAAACTCATTATCCTCTCCCTTTGGCACAACAAGAACAGAATTGGTTTCCATATAGAACTGTTCCTGACCACCAATATGAATCTCCCCTATAAAATAATAATAAAAAGTTTACTTGCATCATTATTATAATAACTGCATACATCAATACACTCCTGAATAGCCGATTCACTTTTGGTATTCCATATCAGAGTTTTATTGCTGAAATAGCATGGCTAAGTAGAGGTATCTTAAGAATATTGAAAGGCCCAATATTTTTCCCAGTTATGGATCCTGCCAATTATTTTGTTTATTTTAAATTTTTTATTTATTGTAAGAAAGAATATTGTGTTGAAGATCAACACCAGCCAAAATGTTTTGCTGTTTGTGTCTCTTGGAGATTCACTAGCAATTTCTGGCTTGGCACTATCAGTCAGCAATCATCTGGTGAGATCTGTCTCCGTAACAGGAGTGGAGGGGACATCTTCCAGATTTCCTCTCATATTGGGGGGAGACTGCCCCTTTCTGTTGTGCTTCCATCCAGTGAGGAATAATCTTCTTGACAGGGATACAGAAAGCAATAAAGACCAGGTGTAGATTTTAACTTCCCCATTCTATCCTAACTTAGAAAGAAATTTTAAAAAATCCACTTCAATGTAACAGGATTTTTGTACTCTGTACTGTAAAATAATTTTCCTGGAACATCTCCATTTTAGCACAACAGGGTGTGGCTCCACCCATGTGACCCCTAAAGACAGGCCTAAATGCCTTTTTTGTCCATTGTGATCTTGGATGACTCGTTGGGTTCTTCCTTTTATGAGCTCCTTTTGGCTTTCATCTTTTATTCATTAATTTTCATACCATGGGGCAATGGGGGACTTTTGGGTCTCTCTCTCTATTTCTGCCCCTCTGTTTAGGGGGCAAATACTGTGCCCCAGCTGATCCTGTTCCCTCTCTGTCTGCCCCGTTGCAGTAGGGTTTGGCTGGATGCTTCAGATGACGAAGTGGAAGTGACATCATTCACCAGGCAGCATGGGCATATTAGGCATTAGGCTTTAAGACATTCTTTTGGTAGGAGCATGGAATATGTACAACTTCCCACCCAATGGATGACGTCCATGCTTTAAATGTGCCCTGCGATCCTAGCAAAAAAGGTAAGCTCCTGGAGCTTAGTCTCGGCATGCTCACACAGCAAGTCTTGAAAGACAGAGCAAGCACTGAGGCAATGCCAATGGCTTTGTGCCTGGAAAACACAACTTGTTACCAGAACAGGATCTGGAAAGCACCTTATGCAGAGCAAAGTGCCCAAAGGTTACTTTCAGGCGAGTCCCTCAATGCCTAGCTTAGCGAGATCTGGATGTGATACTCCAAACACCAGGTTGAGGACAGCCACACAGTGGATAGCTGCAATGAAGGGACTAGCTCTAGCAGCAATGTTGAAGCATCTTGATTGAAGAGTCTTGATTCAATGATACTCAGGGGGGGAAAAATGAGGCATGCTAAAAGAAAAAAGATGTTTTTGTGTGTTGCCAGTTTCCAATCCTCCTGTAGGCGGCAGTATAAACCGAAGGTGTAAGACTTCCCATGTCCCTCAATAGATGAGAGTTCTCTACTATGCCAACAGCTCACATCATTTACACATCACAAGTCAGTTACACATTTCTATACATAAATATATTATGTTTTGTTCAGCTTTATGTGAAAATTTTTATTTTTAAAGATGGTTAGAAATTAATGGCTCTAAAGGTTAGAGGATTCAAATGGGCTTTATTTAGCTAAACCCAAGAACAAAAAACTTTAAGTTAAAATGCAGGTTACCAGTCCTTTGACATAATGGGGGTGATTTACTAACCTAAACACACGCACGCACTAGGTGCGTGTGATTTTTACACAGCAAAACGTATTTATCAACCAAAAAGTCTCTAAAAGCATATTTCCACTAATGCCATATATGGAAAAATCATGCACATGATGCATATATAATGCTACTTCACAGTTTAGACAAAAATGGTTAGCTCATGCATTTACATTCCTGCATTCATCAACGCAAGCAACACAACATAGAGCTAATTTACACAAGATCACCTTGCAAATTCATGCAGGGCTTTGCACAACACACCTGCTGGGTGTGTACACACTACAAAGGTGTTTAGATTCCACCCATAGATCATGCTGGGAGGGAACACACTACAGAGGTGTATACATGTTCGTGGTGTGTTTATAAGGTTAGTAAATCAACCCCAATGGCTGCATTAATGTTTTCTTTCCTAAGCCAAGTACATTTTCTGCAACTTAGGAAGATACCTGCTCATGCTGATAGAGATCCAGTATTTTTGTAACTTCTTGTGTATGAAACTGAAATCTCAAAACAATTTTAACCTTTTCCAGCTATACTCTATGAACTATGAAATGCCTCCTCCCAATGTAATTTTTTGTAGTTCATAAGCCTAGGGTGACAACGCTACTCTTCCATTGATATAGCCCAGCGAGTTGTCAACCATGGACAGAAAAAAGTGTTATTGGCAAGATCACCTGTGACATTAAGAACAAAAAAGGAAATGCAGGCACCACATACCGTAGGAGGAATGGTAAGCTGCAGTATATTACATATTTGGTTTTGGGTTTAGATATACTTTAATATGTAATATACTTTAGATATACTTTAATTATGTAATACATACCCTTAATGATATGGTCAGCCTTTTTAAAGGCATCTTCTACATTTCCATGTAGAATTTGTTTATCTGGTTGAAAAAAGGAGTTGTGCTTAATAGCATCCTATAAATGAAGCAAAATATAGAGTTATACAATAGCATAATCTTCCCGGCTTTAACATTAAATGCTAATGTGATACAATTATTTTTAGAATTAGGTGCATACACATTGTGGCTTCACTTACATTATTATCTTGTTTTAACAACTACAAAGTTTACAATATATAGTTACATAGTATTTGGGGTTGAATAAAGACATACGTCCATCAAGTCCAACCCATATGATGTAGTACCTGACACCATTGTTATAAATATTTGTAGGTTGCAATGTTGCTAGCTAATAAAAGGCTTACGAGTGCAGTTTACATCAGTTGAATTTTGCTAATAGGTCTAGTATTCTGTAAGGCCTAAAATATTTTCAAAACACAACAAATAACTAAAGAAGGTAATTAAGAACTAAGGGCATTAAACGCAGCTTGCATCAAGAAAATATGAACACTGCCATTGCTGAACTCTTTTTTTCAATTTGCTAGTTGCTCTTTCCTGGGCTTGAATAATTTTGTTTCACTGTCCTGCAAGCAATATCAAATTCTGGACTTATTAGTTGCATGCCTGTTCCTGGTCAATAAAGCACTGAGAGACAACCGGGCAACTAGCGTTATCAGAAGCAGAGATTGGCAACCTTCTCTCAGTACAGATTTCCTTAATACTGTTCTTTTGGCTCACATTTCAAGTAATAAACATACCTTCCCTGGCATATAAAACAGATCCACCCACAATGCAATCTGGAACTGCTCTTCTGAGGCTGTTATTACCTACATTCTTGGTGCTAAACCTGTTGCACTTTGGCACTTATTGTGTCATCCACAACACCCCTGCAGACAGAAGTCTGTGTTTTCCTTACTTAGGTGCTTACTGAAGACAGTGAAGGAAAATTATTATAATCGTAAAATTACCATAGCATCATAGTTAAATGGTTTTGTCCATTTTTCTCACACTATTCTATTTTTTTCTGTTATCCAATACTTTTCTCTTTTTATACTTTGTTTCCTCTGATCTACTTTTAATCTGGATCTTGCCGAGAGAAAAATCAAATGTGAACAAGTAAATGTAAGGGGGCTGTAGGGAGCCCAAATGTGGAAGCATTGATTTGGGGGTTGTAATAGCTTGGGTCTCTAGTCTCATGTAAAGTGACTCAAGTCTGACTGCCTCCTGAAGCATTTTGCCAGTCTATAAATGCCTCCTGTAGCAGCTCTCCAGTCTTCAACAATTTTTCCAGCATAACAAATGATTATCCGCGCTATAGTGCTCTGCCCCAATCTCCTCAAAAACACCCTATTGACAGCTGCAGAGATAGAGAGAAGCTATATAAACTTCTCCCACAATATATTAAACAAAAGACACTGCGCTATCTTTAATATTATAAAACTCTAAGTGCATATACTTAGTGACAATTATACAACATGTTCACTCCAACTTATATATAGTCCATATAAAAATATTCCCAAAGTTGATGTGATTAAAAATAAATGTGATGAAATCCTTGTGTTCACTTTCTTTACATCAGTGAGTCAAATAATCATTGTATATAAAGTTCCACAATCACTCGTGACTTCTGTAATAAGTGAAAATATAATTTTTCCAGCATGTTCGGAATCTCTGAAAATCTGTTGTAGCATGCCTTTAGTCTTTAACCATCTCCTGTCTTATGTCTGCAGTCTTTCAGAGTTCTGTAGTTACATTTAAAGAATATTATGTGTGACCCTTTGGTAATGTCAGGGGCTGCACTTGAGGCTCCCTATATCAAGTGAATTGACCACCACTGACCTAAATAAAATACCAGCAAAGAACATAATGTCCTTTGTATTAAAAAGGCTGCAACTGTAGAGATGTCCACAAGATGTCACTATAATCTAAAATTAAAATTGGGGAACCGGCCTTCATAACATGTTAGAAAGAGGTTCTTCATTCTAGTCAACACTGGTACAGTTAGAATACTACTGTTCAGTAATGGTGTAAACAGCATATAGTTAATAAATGTTGAAAAGTATAAAATGCCTTTTAGCTGTTATTTTAGGTTTTGTGAACATTAATTCATAAAAATCTTGTCCAATTGAATTTATAATTTAAAGAGTTTTAGTGTAATATGCCGACATACTGTATTTGTGTTCTGTAAACTGTATTACCTCCTCGGGTATTTCCTCGGAAATACCCACTATCATTCTTGGTGACTTTAACATTGCCACTAACATTAACACCCCAGCCTCTGCTCAATTTCTTAACCTAACCTCTTCTTTTGATCTAACACAATGGTCAAACACTCCTACTCACTCTGATGGTAACATACTAGATCTTGTTTTCTCCCACCTATGCACTACTTGCAACCTCTCCAACACCCCTTTCCCCCTCTCAGACACTGATATAACACCTCAAAACACACTTTTCACTTACAACTCTTTTTATTAGAGTGGACTCTCCCTCTGTAACGAGTCCTGGGTGGGAAGTTTCACTTCAGTCTTTCTGCAGGGACGGCCGCTCTGCGTTCCACGGTGGAGCGCGGAAGCCGCTTGACTTCCTGATTGCGAGGTGAGCGGCCTGTGTTCCACGGTGGAACGCGGAAGTCGTTCGTTCCGGCCACCGGCTCCTCCCACTTCCTGGGGGTATTTAAAGGCTCAGCTGAGGCAACAATTGGGTTCAGAAGTGCCTGTTGTCTCATGAGCCAAGGATCCATCTCCCCAGTACTGCCGGTGTCGGACCACTCCTCATCCAGCCTTAGGAATCACTGCAACCACTGCCAGAACCTAAATCGCAAGTACTGCTCCTGTTGGAGCCCTAAACTTTGACATTCTGAATTACAACCTCTTAAAGTGGTATAGACTGTCTCAAGGATTTCTATCATTTGTGTGCTGGGGTTCTTCCTGCAACACTACCTGTATATAAGTGGGCCACTGTTCATTGTTGCCAATCCTTATCCAAGTTTTCAATTGATACTTTAAGCTATGAAGTAATAGCCTATCCCGCTCTCCTTTTAGTTGGTTATACGGCTGTGATGCAAGAATCTCAAACTCCCCGCTAAATACGGGGAGTGACGCCTGAGATTCAAGCCTGATAAGCCGTCTCCTCATACGTCACCTATTGCATACCTTCCGCAGTTGAGATCCAAGCAGTTGTAGTCACAGCAGGCGTGACACCCTCCCAAATCCATTTATAACTGGAAGCTGTGTTAAAGCAGACAGTTTGGGCTAGGAGCTCAGAGTTTAAAGACTACTCTGGAGATCTATGGTATGGGATGCTCATAACTAGGGATGCACCAATAATGATACTAGTATCAGTGCCGATGCAGAGTATTTGGGCTAGTACTCGTCCAAATGCTCAGATGCCTAGCCCGATACTTCCAGTATCAGGAAGCGCATCATTACACGCTGCCCGGCTTCCTTAATGGCCAGGAAGGCGGCTCCATGCTCCCTTGTCACGAAAGAGCATGTAGCCGGTTTCCGGGCCAATCTGGAAGCCGGGCAGCTTGTAATGATGCCTGGCTTCCTGATTGGCCAGCTTCCCAACCAATCAGGAAGCCGGGCGCCGTGTAATGGCCAGGAAGCTGGCTTCATGCTCCCTCGTCACCTCATGATGAGGGAGCATGGAGCCAGCTTCCCGGCCAATCAGGAAGCCGGGCGTCGCGTCATTACACATAGTGACGAGAAGCATGGGGACGGCTTCCTGGCTAATTGGGAAGCTGGATGGCGAGTTTTTACACGCCGCCTGCTTTCCCGGCTAATCAATCCTGATTGGGACTTCCGGTACTCGGTATCAGCGAGTACCGGAAAAAAAAAAAATATTGGTACTTGTACTGAAATACCGATATCAGTGCATACCTACTCATAACACACCATCACCAAACCCAAATGGCAAAGTGGCTATTACTTAATGACCTTCGTATGTTCCAAGTTCTGCATAATTGCCGACTACCTTTCAGATAGTTACCCTGATTAACTAAAGTAGAGCATGTGAAAAAGTGAAAATTCACACTGTAGATAATATCCAAATCACGTGCATGGAAAATTTAGAATAAAAACCCACAAAAAAATACCACAGGATTTTTGCTTGCACGTGATTGGATGATTAAAGCCAGCACAACCTTACATTATTCACTAAGCACAATGAAAAATGTACTTGCCAAAAGAGGAAATTCACATGGACTGGGTATTCTTTGCATAGTGTTTGCTTAGCATCACCTCATTCACTGAGATCAGTAAAATTTCACTTTCTAATATGAAAATTGCTTTTAAAAGTAAAACTATTTTTTACTACTTTTTAGGCTGTTTGGTAGAAATTTACTATTTATTATTTTCATTGTATTGTATTGCATAGTAAGTAGGTCTGAGGTTTTCCATTCGGTTATTATATTCTTCCTTTTCTAGAAAAAGATATACAGTAGTGTACCAATGAGATTGTAGTTGTACTGTCCCATATAAAAACCAATTAATTCCATTCTGAGTTTGAGATTTTGGGACATAACCAGGAGTTATAATCTTTTGTATCAGAGTACAGAATTACTACTAAGAGGATATACACTGTATTACAAAAAGTATTAGGATGCCTGCCTTTACATGCACATGAACTTAAATGGCATCCCAATATTAGCCCATAGAGTTCAATATTGAGTTGGCCCACGCTTTGCCGCTATAACAGCTTCAACTCTTCTGGGAAGGCGTCCACAAGGTTTAGGAGTGTGTCTATGGGAATGTTTGACTATTCTTCTAGAAGCGCATTTGTGAGGTCAGGTACTGATGTTGGGGGAGAAGGCCGGGCTCGCAGACTCCGCTCTAATTCATCCCAAAGATGTTCTGTCGGACTCTGTGCTGGCCAGTCAAGTTCCTCCACCCCAAACTTGCTCATCCTTGCTCATCCATGTTTTTATGGACCTTGCTTTGTGCACTGGTGTGCAGTCATGTTGGAACAGGAAGGGGCTGTCCCCAAACTGTTCCCACAAAGTTGGGAGCATGAAATTGTCCAAAACGCCTTGGTACGCTGATGCCTTAAGAGTTCTCTTCACTGGAACTAAGGGGCCAAGCCCAACCCCTGAAAAACAACCCCACACCATAATCCCCCCTCCACCAAACTTTACACTTGGCACAATGCAGTCAGGCAAGTACTGTTGTCCTGAAAACCGCCAAACCCAGACACGTCCATCGGATTGCCAGACAGAGAAGCATGATTCGTCACTCCAGAGAACACGTCTCCACTTCTCTAGAGTCCAGTGGCGGCGTGCTTTACACCACTGCATCTGACGCTTTGCATTGCACTTGGTGGTGTAAGGCTTGGATGCAGCTGCTCGGCCATGGAAACCCATTACATGAAGCTCTCTATGCTGTGTTGTTGTGCCAATATGAAGGCCACACAAAGTTTGGAGGTCTGTAGCTATTGACTCTGCAGACAGTTGGTGACTTCTGCGCACTGTGCGCTTCAGGATGCCCTGATCACGCTCTGTCATTTTACGTGGCCTACCACTTTGTGGCTGAGTTGCTGTTGTTCCCAGTTCCTTCCACTTTGTTATAATACCACTAACAGTTGACCATGGAATATTTAGTAGCAAGGACATTTCATGGAACACCTGAATCCAATGATTTGGAGGTTGTGTCCCAATACTTTTGGCAATATAGTGTACATTAGGTGTACAGGTATTGCTAGATGCCACCCCAGTCGGGTTTGTGCAAGTTAAGTTTGGTTAATGTACCAATATCTGGTACATTAACCAAACTTAACTTGTAAAAACTGGACAAGCCAAAAGCCATTTTGCGCAGATTTTTCAATCATCTGGATTCTACCATCAGAGGGGCTGAGCCAAACTGGGCATTAAAGCAATGGCTGTAACTATAAGAATATAGTTATAGTATATCAATTCCTTTGGTTATCCAGGACACTGGTCCTGGCAGTGAGGACAGTTCTGGAGATTGATTTCTCTCCACAAAGGTGTGTGGGGGCACCACTGGCTAGGAAACCTTTTATACCTTAGACCACACTTAAGAGTTGTTTTCATGGATGGGGACAAGGGAGCTTCATATATGTTGCCAAACATGCAACTTCAGGATCAAGGGATCTTTGTTCAGATCTAGATTTACCCAGCAATTAACTGTAACAATTTTACTGCTGGGAAAGTACTTAAAGGGAACTTGGCTGCATACATTTTTTTGGGTAGTCACTTATACATTGGAACAAAACAGTCTTCCTGTAGAGCTCATTCACATTTTAATCTGCATGACTGCATGCCCTGCCATGCCTTGTTTTGCTGGAGGATCCAATGCAACATAATTGATTGGCACCAGGCAAGACAACAAGTGAAAATGCACCATGCAGGGCTTTGTAGGGCCAATGTATTGTGGCACAGTAAGGTAATAGAAAACAAAATCCTCTAGAAAAATATACATTTTAATTTGACCATGTAGCTTGCCATTGTTGCAAAACATGCATAATGTTTGGAAATGTGGATGGACTAAAGTCTCTTAAGACTCTTTAAACAAAATACCTCGACAGAGAGAATGGGCTTCAGATCATTGTAAGTTATCTTCACTTTAGCCACGGCTCTTCTTGCATGTTCTGGAGTGTCAGCTACAATTGCACAGATTATTTGCCCTACACACAGTACCTGCAAACCAATGAAAGATAAGTAGAAAAAAAAAGCCAAATATATTTTATTATTTCATCTACTTATAACAAATACATTTTTTAAATCACTGATGAACCGTTTCAGAAACATAACCATATGATCCTGTGTATTGGTTTACCATTTTAATAAAATTGTAAAAAGGTAATATTTGTAAGTATATAACACCATGGATTTTTACGCATCGGCTTATCAAATTCCATACAGCACAATACCCATTACGAACAAGTTTAATATGGTATACAAAAAAACAGTTGGTAACCTCATTGAAGCTTAGTCAAAGAAAGTCTGTCAGATGGCTAGAAAAAATTTGGCTGATAACACTTTGCTTTTCTTTTTATAAAGAGAAAAACTGCAGAGCTGAAGGTTCCAGGACACATTCTTGTATTCATGCGTGCCAGACTACTGAGTTATGGGTATTGCAAACTTGAAAGTTTCAGAAGAAAAATAATGATTATTAATGATCAGTATCAATCACCCTCATCCTTGGTCACAAAACAGATCCATATAGAGTGTATGAGCGAGAAGATGATACGAGATTGTTTATTAAATATAAAAATGATACATTTAGCAGGAATTAGCCTTTAATTAAACTGTCCTGAGGAAGTATAGAGGCTGCCATTGTTGAATGCTTTAAAATAAAGTAACTGGTTTGAAAGAAGTGTGCAGATTAGAAGCTCCCAGTTCAACCAGACTTTTGTTTCCCCCAGGTCAATGGCTCAAAATATTGAAGTCAAAGACAGCCAGTTTCCTAAAACAGATTAAATTATGTATTCACTAGCCATCGACTAAACCCAGAGTATTTGAGTATGGTATTATACAGGCAAATCTAGTATTTACTGTATATGTGTAAAACATTTTACGAAAACTTTGATTCTGAATACGATTTACGATTGTATTCCATTTTACTTATACCAGTTAATATGATTCAGACTTGCTTAAAAGTAAAACCAACGATTATGTGTATAATATATATGTTGGTAAGATGGAAAACAATTTCAATCATTACAAGTTATACCTCCTCCTCTGAAAATAAAGGTCCTTGTCCAGAAACTTCATTTATTCCGGGGACATCCTTTGCTCTTATTATATCCACCACTCCACGAACTTTGAGGGCATCAGAAAAATCCAGTGACCTGTAAAAAGTACGAAAACTGGAGTTTAGTATAAATCTTAGTGCCTATGGGATTAAATGGAATGAGGAATCCAGACTAGTTTTTCCACAACATTTTTCTGTACCACTGTCATGAGCTTTTTCATGTCCAAACAATTAAATACAACAAACGGCTAGAGCGCACTCACTGCTGGGTAAAGACCTTTATAGGCTATAAAAACGTGTGCTATAAAAACGTGTGCAAAAGGGGTACAGTGTGCAGGCTCTGACAAAAACAGGGAGAGGAACCCTGTGAATATACAAATACAATCACACAATGAAATAGCGCCACTACTGTAGAGAAAACACTCACGTTACTGTTGTCTCAGACTGTTCTTCTGCATATCCTCTCGGCTTCGTAAGAGCAGCTGACACGCGATATGCTGACAACAGTAACGTGAGTGTTTTCTCTACAGTAGTGGCGCTATTTCATTGTGTGATTGTATTCATGTCCAAACACAACAACTAATTGTAAAAGTTACAGTGGGACTTTTGCAAGACAAAAGGCAATTGGTTTTGGGTCAATTTTATTCTCCAAGTTTTTAAATGGTTTTATGCATGGATTAGCTAATTAGGCAACATACCTAATAAAGCTTGCTTTGCAGCACCCTTTGATTATGACTGCATACCGAGTCCTCTGATGAAAGGAGGAGTCATTGGAAAAAGTTTCCCAAGAGTTGATCTCCTTTTGTTTTGCAGTAATAGAAGGTTCTGTCAGTGTACCAGTGATTTAGATCATTGAGCTGAGAGGACATTGACAATTACAACTGATTTGTATCATACATGGAGCAGGTGTACAAATCAGGGACAGCAAATATTTACTCAGATCAGGGACAGCAAATATTACAAATCAGGGACAGCAAATATTTACTCAGAGCAGAAAAATGATGTAGAACCCAGCAAAGAAACTGCTGCTCTGCACACATGCTCCCACATCCAGTTGACCGTGATAAGGCTTAATGGACAACTGTGCTTGCAGAGCATTCAGAGCAGAATCTTCCAGCTATTACCAAAGCAGCTGCTTCTTGTTTACAAGAGCCTCTGACAGCAAAGGGAGGGAGCACCCATACTATGCATATGCTCCCTTATGAGTCCTTATTCCTAACTAAATTAAAGGTAAAAGATATGCTTGAATCATTTGAGCCTAAAATCTAGAAGAATAACTTGGGACAGTCTCCCTAAAGTAGTGAAACTACTTTCCCATGTATTAATTTCCTTAAAACACAGATCTTGCTTTAACATTTTTGCTGTAACCTTTAAATTGATAGCTCCCTGAAAATAGTATCTGAAAGACTAAATAAAATCTCACTTGACTACTTGCGAAAACATTTTTACTTACGCAATCTTGGCATGAGCCTTTTTGCTAGTGACAAAAGCGATGAAAAGTTCTTGGTCCACAGGTGGCATGTCATCCACATACACTGCCTCGCCCGTGGCTTGCTTTATGGCAGACTGGTTCTCTATTGGACGGCCAACAGGGTCTTTAACTGGCTGATTGGAGTTTACTTCCTGAGCCAAATATAAATAATGTTAAAGAATCATGTAAACTAAAAGGACACCACAGTTACACTGGAATTACATTTTTGAAACATCTTCCCAGTCACTAAAATGCAGCAGCGTTCTTGAAGTACCTCTACATGGGAACATTTTTAAATCCTCTTAGGCCATCTTAGAGAGGAACTTTACCCTTATCCATACCTTTCAGATGACCCAGAACATGGGTCTATATTGAATTTCGTATTCTGCAGGAATCCATCCTAGTGTGATTGGCATGAGGGGCCCAATTGAATGTACTGTGCTGGTGGTTATGTGAAGGGGGAGAGGAAGACAGGTACATGTGGTTGTCAGAAAGTGTAAAATACAGGATTTGCTCCAAGTAGGCCAAGAAAGGCCCCTGGTTTGCAGAATTGTAGTTACAGTATATTCTGCTGGACCACACAGCCCCATGTGTGAAACTGGAGGGAAAAAAATTGCAATCAGGTGGTGAATGCATTGTCATTGGAATCTAGGAGTCAGGCACAAGTGAATAATCTTGTGGTTGCCAGGGGTGTGTGCGGTTTTCCAGCTTTTCCCATTGTTTACAGTACTCCGACTCTTGGTCAAACACAGGACCCACCTTTTATAGCAGCTGTGTCAATAAGAATCAATACTCTGACCTTTTGACATAGTTTGCCTAAAGTATTTATGGTACTGTGCTGCTATCTAGAATTTGCAGGCAGAAATGCTTCCCTCATAGAAATTGTCACCCATATTGGAATTGGTACAAATGTTCCAAGATAAAGAGGATTGCAATTTAAGGGGATTAACATTGACAACATTGAAGGTCCACTACAAGAGAGAACAAGACTGTTAGGCCTCATTCACACACAACGCAAGCAAAATTGTATATTGCGTATATACGCGTCTATGCGCGTATATACGAGCATCTATGCGCGTATATGCAATCCCAGAATGCATCACTCGTAATGGAATTTTTAATGTGCTGTACGCATGTACGTGCGTATACTCGCGTATATACAGAAATACGCTGCCCGGACGCATCTCTGTTCCATTCTGTTTTTGCGCATATATGCGCTAGGCAAATATACGGCTCCATACGCGGCTATGTGTATGAAGCCATTTATTTGCATATGTTACATATGGTACAATACACGCATATATGCGTGGCAGTGTGAATGAGGCCTTAAGGTCAAGAACTTTTTTTTTCTCCCCGAAGTCCTGTTTACCGAGAACTTTACTAAGTTTATTTATCTAATGGAAGTTAAGTGACTTAGTTTATCCCTATCGCATTTGCTAGAAAAGGATCAATAGCATGTGTGTTAGGCTGGGCACACACCTTACAACCATCGCAAGACTTTTGTCTTGCGATGGTTGTAAGGTACTTTAAAAAACGTACGATCTGCCTATGTTGCATAGGCAGATCATACTTGCGATGATCGCAAGCCACGCAGGCTTCCGATGACCGCAATGCCGAACGGGCAGTGTGCGCTTGCGCACACCGGCCCGTACGGCTGTTATCGTACGGACATGCCACAAACCCGCCGAATATAGTATGAATATTGTATGTCTATGTTCTTTCCTCTAACTGTAAGTAGTTTGTATACACAGCATTCTTGATTAGTAAAAGCACATTAAATATAATATTGGGTTGGTTCCTTGGATTTAATGCAAGAATTTCACAAACGGCCGAAAAGAAAAATGCAAAATTAGTACCTACCTTATCAAGGTATCCTCTGATATAGAGCCTACAGCCTTGTCTGTCTGGATGTTTTATTCTGCCTGTCATACTTTAATTTTTGTTCTATGGTAGTGCCTGGTGTCAGATTGCAGCACCGTTGAAAAATTACAGATAGGTATTTGCTTTATCATAGCATACCTATGTAATTTATTTTCATTAATACATTACTTGAGTGGTAAAATTAGGTACCTCGGCTTATATTCGGGACGACTTATACTCGAGTATATACGGTAACTTATTTACTTTTTTATAATTTTTTAATCTTATTATTGTTTATTTTTTATAATTATTTTTTTATTTTTTAATCATTTGTTCCTTTTTATTTTTGACTTTTTAATCACCTTTTTTTTAAATTTTATTATTTTATATGATTTTTTTAGGGCTGGTAATAATTAAAATTTTCGTGTTTGATTACCGGTAATCAAAATTTTTTAAAATCGATTAATCGATTAATTATAACGCACAAACAGATCCAACTACATTGGCCTATACACATACAGCACAGCAATGAAGTAATAAAATGAACTAGGATCACACTAATCCAGCATGTTATTAATCTCACGTGCCCCACTCAATATGGCCGCCGCTTGAGTGGGGCAACTCAGAATAATAACGTGCTGGATTAGGGTGATCCTAGTTCATTTTATTACTTCATTGCTGTGCTGTATGTGTATAGGCCAATGTCTTGTCTGGCGCTCGTGCAGAAAGTTTCATTGTCCGTTGACATCACGAACATCGACATCAGCGGACTCCTTCCCCCTTCCCTTCGTTAGCCAACGGAGCCACTTGGGGAAAGGGGGAGGAGGCCGGTGACATCGATGTCCGTGACGTCACCGGATCGCCGACGGGACTCCCGGAAGCTCGCGGAGAGGTGAGTGTTTTCATTAGCGATCAAAATAATTTTAATCAAAAAGTTTAACGTTTAATCGAGAAATTAATCTTTAATTTCCACAGCCCTAATTTTTTTAAATTTTTATTTATTTAATTATAATTTTTT